TTATTTTTAAAATACTATGTATTTTCCTAATTACTTTTTTATAATCTCATCACCTGCAACTTTTGAATGCTTCAATGACGCATTTAATATGTTTGTGATAGCTTTAAACAACTTTCAATTATGTTTTATTTCTAAAAATGGCTAGATTCTGTACTGAAAACATGTTTATGTCAAGGTTTCATCTCTTTCAGTAAAATGAATAAAAACAATAAATTGATCAAAGTTTGTATAAGGAATCATGTATATACCAGAATAAGCTGTCAATACTGAATTTATTTATACATTTTAAAAAAGTGTAATATTTATATTAAATACTAATATATATATATATATATATATATTAAAATCTTTCAAGTGATTCAATCATTTCCAAGGAAATTATATGTGATAAACACAGGAAAGTTTAAAAGCTATGGATGTACCTATATATACATATGTAAGCAACTCCTACATATCTGTATTCTTTCTATATTATTTAAAGAAGATATTGTATCAGTGCAAAATAATGAATAACTGAAATATTAATTTTATAGAGAGCAAAAAAAAAAAACAAATGTTTCTAATATTAACTAAAAATAATCATATATTACATGATAAAAAATTATATATCTATCATTTAAAACAACTCAAGGAATAAATAAGAGGAGACAAAACAACCTTTTGATTGGTTGCATCTCTCATTGTTTTTTATCAAAAATGAAGCAAAAGTAGTTTTGATGCATTGATTTACAAAGGCCCCTAACTTCATTCACTTTTAACACTCTTTGAGTTAGTCAACAACAATAGCACCAATGTGTGGGAGGAGAAGCATAGGAATCTTTAGAAGTCAAGCCAAATGGAGGGTATTTGTATTATAGTGGTGTTGTAAGAAAAATTTTGAGGCTTATTTATGAGTATCTTCTCCAATGGTAGTAGTTAAACAAGATGCAAGAAAATTGGGGTCCATAAACGGAGGTATATTTATCACATGACATTTCCACATTCACCCATTGCTTCATCATTTGTCATATTTGATAAGGATTTGCTTGCTTTCTCTTTATTTGGTGTCGCACAACCAATGATATGAGGAGCAATAGTGGGCTATGGTATTTGCGGTATAAGCATTCTATAACTTGAGGCAACACAAAGAGAGAGAGGTGAGAAAATAAGAGAAAAATCAAGTGGGTGGTTTCTTTGCAAAGAATTGAGTTGTGTAGAGAATTGGAACTAGAGGCTTGACACAATAAGAGATTGAGATAGAATGTTCAGTTTGCAATTTGTTAGAGCACCAATTGGCATCTAAGATGATGATTGAGGTTGGCAATTGAATTCAAGGAAATGTAAGCCTAAAAGAAATGAATAGTTACAAGTATTGAGTTTGAGGTTAACTTGGAGGATAATACTTTGTCAAAGGTTTCCACTAGTGTTTGTATGTATGTATGTATATATATATATATATATATATATTATGCCCTAAGAAATAGAAAAAGAACATGTATGTTTTAAATACACTATCAATAGAATAATAGAAAGTATTATTCATAGATTCTTGTAATGAATCTGCCTTTCTGTTTGTTTGTTTTTAGTGTGCATTCAGAATATATCAAATCAAATTGATTTTGTGGATAAATGTTTGTAAAAATTGATATTTTTTTCTATTTATTAAATTTTCACATTTATATATAAATATATATATGTAATTTTGTTTCTATTTATAGTTATTAATGAATATGGAGATTGTGAGAAGATTTAGGAAAGAAGGAAAAGAAAATACAAAATTCATATTAGTAAATACATCCAACTGGACTTTGTCATTTATTCCTGCAAGCAAAAACAAATACATGCCCATACAACAATTTAAGCATGCATCTTAAAAGATTAATATTAAGAACTAATTCATTACCCAGGTAGGCATAATAAAAATATTATACAGAAATTTCTATGTTGATTAGAGCAATCAAATTTAAAACCGATGAGATTTAGATACACTGGACACTATCCAATCACATAACACCAAAACCAAAATTTTATATGATGCCTGTTTACTATTATTATATTACCAGATATCGTTTAAATAATTATCCTTCGATTTAAAAAAAAATTACGCTCATTTCTACATTGTTGCCGACACACCACTGGGATGCTATTGCAGAATCGTTTTCTTGATATTGAAATGATTGTTTCACTCAAAGTTATTTTTAAAAACTTGACTTCTGCAACTTCTTCTGGAGTCGCACAAGATGCTTCAAAGGTGGAAGGATGGTATCTAAACACTTGCACAAAAATTTAAAAGATATTTTTATTAAAGCAAAATAATCTCTGAAGTGGGAAGTAGAATGGAATTCAGAGTAGAAAGATTTGTTCATTCATGTGACTTGTGTTGTTGAGTAAAGTACAGAAATTCTTTGCCATCTTTGTACTCATCATTTATTTATACACACACACATAAGTGTATATGTATATGTATATATATATATATATATATATTCACACACTCAAATCCACGGACACACTGGTGGTCAACTGAGGTATTGCGAAGAATTATAACGACAAATGGTGGCTTCCATTTGACGCAAGATTTTGCACTTTACTTTCTTTACGATAAGAGTTTGAATTCAGAATGAACATTCAGTCCTTGTAGACATTCCTAAGGATTAACTATATTTGTTTTCATTTTCACTTGGTTATCTTTGAATATACAAGTCCACTCACTCACTCAATCATCTTTTAAATTTTACACTGTTTTTGACTGAGTTTTGTACATCAGAGAAGGGTGAACTCAAATTGCAAATAGTCTCCAATGACTCATGTAAAGTTCATTTTGAAACGACTTGTACAGGAAAGGGGTGAGCAGGTAAGCAGGAAGGTATACTTGTAGTCTTTGACTATCTAGAAGAAAAGACGCTTTCAACTCATCAAGATTGCATTGAAGCATTCTAAACGTGAGTAAATTCCATTCTCACAGCTTTTACTGAAGAACTCGTTCATGACCCATCCTTTCAAAGTGGGAACCTTTACAGTCTACCACCTCAAAAATTACTTTTTCCATCACATCGTTTCTATTTCCATTTTTTTTTTTTTTTTTTTTTTCTTCTTCTTTTGTTGTTTTTGTTGGTGACGAGATATTCAACCAACAAACAGAATTGATATCCACACACTTACACACTCACACCGAGCCACACGTCTCATATTGTGGACACAAGAGCCATTAAAATCAATATATATATATATATATATATATATAGATATTTGTGCAAGTTGGTGGAAGTGGGCTCACGAGGAAGAAGCCTTCGGAGGCAAGCATCGCCATCGCCATCGCCACGGCAATGAGAGGCGATAGCACGATTCAAGGTCCTTTGGGAGAAAAGAAAACCGACACATCCAGATACAAACACATAAGGCCATATCTGCATCAGCAGTGGGCCTGCCTACTGGGTGATATTGCCGGGGGATGATGGTAGGGGTGGGTTGTGGTGGTGGTGGTGGTGGTGGCAGGGGCAGAATCCAATTCCAGAGAGAAAACAGAAAAAAAGAAAAAGCGCAACACAGGAAGAGCAAGCGGGCGAGGCAGCGAGCAGGGGACGCAACGCCAGGCCAAGCAGGACAAGGAAGAAAAGGAGGGGGCAGCATTCCCAATCCCAACCCCAATCCCAATCCTTATCAATCAGTCCCCTTCCTCTTCCTCCGCGGCCTCAGATCGCAGCTGCACAATTTGTCTGCAGCCACTTCCCACCTTTGGACTCGCACCGGGTGGCCTCCTGCTCCATGCACGCAGTTGGTAGCCCTGGATTCCCGATTCCACCACCGTTTTCACACTCAGAGAGAGAGCTTTGAGAGCTTGGGTTTCTGTGGGAGCAAGCTACCGTGAGCAATCTTGGGCGAGAGAAACGAGGCAATCGACAGGGAATTTCGAGGCCCTGTCCTTGTGAAGCTGGACCCACAATCCCACAGGAGGAGGGGAAAAAGATGGACCAAGGGGTGGCTAAATTAATGTAAGCATGGTCCAGCCTGGAGGGATTCTTCTTTTAGGCCCCCCTTTGTTTCTTTGTTCTTTTTTTTTGTTTTTATCTTTGTTCTGTTTTTTTCCCTTTTTTTTTTTATTTATTTATTTATTTTTTCCTTTCTGCTTTTGAGGATTGCATCGCCAGGGGGTAGCTTTTCGAAGAATTTTGGGTGGGGAGGGGCGACCGTTTGTGGAGGGAAACTGATTGTTAAATGGACTCGTTCTTGGTCATCGGGAACAATGAGCAAATGAGCACACCTCGACCACGGGGTGATGCTTTCCACAATTTTAGGGGATGGTTGTGACTTCTCGGTGTGGTCGCTGTTTTCCAACAGTAAGGTTCAGATTGAACAGCGATGTAAGGGGTTATTTCGTCGTGTAGTGGGGCGAAATGGATAATCATTGATCACGCTGCAGATATTTGCTAAATGTTTTGCGCGAAGGCCGTTGCCATGAAATTGGCCTAAAGGCCTCGCCACCCCCGCAGTCGGCAACTATGCCACCCCGACAGCGTTGCGATGGGCAAGAACGCACACAGAAAGTGTGTAGCTTCGGCCAATTAAGGTCCCTCTGGGTACCGTCCGGCGACGCGGTGAAATCGCAACGTCCAGAGACGATCAACGACAGGCATGGACAGACGCCCTCCTCCAGTGTCTGGAAGGCGATTGAAGCGCGCCCGGTTACATAAAATCGTCCCTTTTTTTTTTTTTTTTTTTTTTTTTTTTTTCTTTCTCCCCTTCTCTCTCTCTCTCTCTCTCTCTCTCCTGGAATTTGATTTTTCCAGACGAAATGACATTTGGAACCCTCAGCGCCACCTCAACTCAGTTGTGGTGGAGATTCATTACGAGTGTGGGCTGTCGGTATCGCGAAACAGCGGTGCAGTGATCCATAGTGCGTCAACACGGCGTCAACACTCATTGTGTTGACCAAGCATGGTGTATCAGGGGTACGACTACGAGCGTTTGCACGAGGCCCAGCCACGGTGGGTTCATAGCTTCCTCACCCCCACCTCCCAGATTAGCACAATGGAACCCTTTCCCCACTTATGCCGAATGAGTGATGGGCCCCCATCGAGACTGTCTGATAAATCAGCCAGCGCCCCCTCGCGTCTCACATTCTTTGATGCACACTCAGTCTGCTGTCATCAGAATTCCTGTTTTCCAGCTTCTTAGGAGCCCAATACAAGTGACCTCGTGACGTTCGAGTCTCCCTCGTGATCGATCGTCTGTGGTGGAGAATGTTATGCTGGGACGTGCAAAATCCGTCTCTAGTCTCTGAGAGTTCCATTTTCTGTGCTTGTCTAGATTCCGCGTCGTCTCTCCCAGGATAGTTTGGGACATTGCCCTCAGTGGCAAGGAACTTGGGTCGAAAGGGAAGGAGCTTGTTTGAAGTGAGGTTTAAGTTTTCGGCGGGACGAAGAGCTGCGAGTCGGGTGCAGCTCAACAAAACAGCGAAGCATTAAGAGGAGTTAGTGTCGGAGCAGAGAACCGCTTGGAGGAGGAGGAGAAGGAGGAAGGGGGTTTAGCTTTGGTTGGCTGCTGTAGCTTGTCCATTAATTACAGCGCGTGGGAGGGTGCTTTCCACTGAGACTTTTAGTTTTCTGAGGAGTCATAGCATACAGTGTTTCAACTCCGCCGCTGAGATTGAGGGAAATTCTCTGAAACAGGGAGACGTCGCGAAACAATCTAAGAGGAAGTCGTTTCTTCGCAAGAGCCTCGCGGGCAGGTAGTTGTTACTCAGCTTCTGCATGAGTTGATTGGGGATATTAGTGCATTGCGATTGCTCCACTTCTAGTTTGTTTATCTTTACCGATCGAGCCTCGCAATATAACCGTCTTCCTTTTTGTCTGTATGTATGTGCGATTTTCAAGTCGCCGGTCAAGTGCAATGGACTAACCTCGATGCACCGCTTCGTCAGTGCTTAACAAACTTGGAATCGAGGATGTTCAGTGTACACAGTGCAACCCATTCGTGACAGTATTAATTCAAAACAGTTGTTTGAGAAATTTTGGGAATTTACGCCATGCCACTTAAAAATTAGTCAGCTCTCGAATCTAGCAGTCGTGAAACTCAATTGTGTTACTTCAAATAGGTCAGCATAGCGACGGCAACCGGACTTAATGTTGTGAGCTCAATGTGGCATTCGCAGTAACAGTCCGCGTTGCGCATCACTGGTCAAATTTTCGTTCATTCTGCAGTTCGGGCTGTTTGTCTGGAAGTTTTTTTTTTTTTTTTTTTTTTTTTTGCTTTTTTTTTTTTTTTCTATGTTCCGGTGGGCTCATTGTTGTTTTCTCACGGACATGCAGATTCTTGACAATACTTTGCACAGCAAGGAGAAGGTGAGCAAGAATGCTCCAAGTCGACGACGTCTTGAGTGCGGGGAAATTCGGCAGTCTGGCGGCTTCCCCCATCAGTGTATTGGACCCGAGCATGGCCAATTGGTCTTGGGATTCGACCACTCCGCTGGTCAGTCAGCATGGGTCGCCATTACGAGGATCCCCGTTGAGGTCATGTAGTTCCCCTAGCAGCGATGCAACGCACAATCAAGAGCATGTGTCGCAGGAGCCGTTGTTTGGTTCTATGCGAGGCAGAGGCGGGGCGATGGAGACTAGCACTCCCGCAAGGACCAGACCTCTTGTTGAAGCGCTAAAAAATTGCCTCACGTCGCTGCCTCACTCCACCCACACAGGCGACAGGGCCGGTCTATCATCGAACAATCCTAGTGGTGCCACGCCCACAACTTCTAGAAGCGGCGGCTCAACTTCGAATCCCCTTGGACCCACGAAGCCAGCATCGAAGCGGCGGTCGCGAGCTTCACGGCGCACGCCGACCACAGTGCTAGAGACCAATCCGAGTGAGTTCCGCGACACAGTCCAGAGACTGACCGGGATCCCTTCCATGCCAAATCAAAACACTGCACCTGTGCGACCTCAACCAAAGCGGCCCAATCCTGGCACCTTCTTGAGACCCGATGCCTTACGATCCATCCGACGACTGCCTCCGATTTCCTCGCCGCCTCCTCTACTAAACCCGTTCATGAACGGCCGAGTTCCTTCAATGAATCCTGCAACCCATATATCCTTCCTGCAGCACCTGCAACGAATCGCATCGGAGCAAGTCATGCCGCAGTTACCCAAGCGAGAGCCTGAGGGAAGTATTCCGCTGACGTTCTTCGAATCCGATGGAACCGATCCATCGCTCGTCATGCCGGTACCCTCTATGCCATCGGAACAATGGTGGACGGACCCCGATTCATCTGGGATCATCTCGAACCCCAGATCGCCCAGGTCCAGGCTCAACGACAATTTTGCAGAGAGGAGTATGACAAGCGAGTCGATGTCTTTGGATTACTTTACCAAGTTTGCCGATCAATCTCCGACCGTGCCAATGACGCTGGAGGATCCGAGCGACAATTTCGTGGAGAATTGGTTGTGCAGCCAGGACTACTCAGCAGGAGAGAATCAGTCATGCGCATGATTTGATCTTAACGGGGGAGCTCTCGCTCTGATGTCGAGATCACTGCTCCCCCACCCTTCGCATAGATTAGCTTCACACTTTTTTTGTAAATTCTTGAGAGGAAGTAGTGTGAGGCAGGCATTGAGCTACCCCACTTCGCGTTCTGTACAGATTTTTTTCTCAAATTCCAACGGTCAGCTTTGCGCTGCACCTCTTCCACAAAATTCTACCCATCGCCCAAACATTGCTTTTTGAACTTCCTGAAATCACGCCAATCAGTCGCCGCAAAGGCTGCTGTGAACTCTGCTCAGACCGAGAATCAGATTAACATATCTGAGCAAACATCGGAGAAGCTCAATCTTCTGACAACGCCTCAGACGCGTCACAATTAAGACCGTCGTCATTGCACGATCCAAGTCAGTCGGATCATTCCCAGTGTCCCACTGTCTACAGTATCCACGTCCAGGCCTTAACAAATTCTGGCGGTACCCCCCAAGAAATCGGCACACAAACCCACCGTAGATATCAACCTTCGATACCACTTTCCCACAAACTGGCAAATTGGTGAAGGATCAGAGACAACGCCGATTCCAGACCAAAAGTTCGTCTCCTGCAAACTAGAACCGGAATCTGACTGCTTGAGTCCGAAAAGTGGACAATAACTTGGCAGATGTGACCAGCAGCTTCACAAAAAAACACAGTAAAAAGAAACAGTAAAAAAAGAGAGTAAGAAATATGTTTCAAGAATTAGGAGCTTTTTGATCACGTCGTTGTCTGTATTCAACTCTGTATTATGATATGTATTATGTTGCATGGATGGTCAAACCGGCGGTTTTCTGGGTGCCGTGCCCAAAGCAAGCCGCTGCGATACGGCAGGGGATTGGAAGCTTGATGGCGCCATGGCTCTGTATTTCTTCTGCACGCACTTCCATGGGTCCTTGTACCCTCTCATGCTTGCTCTCCACGCCTCGGTTTATTAGCCCCATTCTTCTATTTTTCAAGGCTCTTTAACAACGTGGATGTATGTTGCCTTCCCTGATGCAACACAAATAAAAAATAACACAAAAAACAAAAAAATAACACTGTTCTGAATGCATTCCAGTCTTGGACTCCGCAACAATTCTTTGCACCTCTTCACGATTCTTTCATCTCGTTCACACCAGAGGCAGTTTTTTCCCTCCTTTTGCAGTTGCTACTCCAGGATTTGTTTATTCATTGATTAATTCATTTTGTTTATATATAATGAGATAATTACAAATTGATCATATTATGTTATTTGGTTGCTTTGTCTATAGATAATTCATTTTGTTTATATCTATAGACAAAGCAACCAAATAACATAATATGATCAATTTGGTTGCTTTGTCTATAGATAGGCAATAATGTTGTTATTTTGATAGTATGAAATTTTGTGCCAGTTTTAGTTGAAATTATGTATTTAAATAGGATATAATATTAATTATTGTATTATTATATTCCATAGTATAATTAATTTTGTACTTAATCTAAATTTTATTTCTTTTGTATTTTTATTATAAGTTTTGATTCTATAATATTATAATATTCTTTAAAGTGCTTCCAATTGGGATTGACTATTGTTATTCTTTTAACATTGAAGATTTTTTTTTTATGCATAACATAATATGATCAATTTTTAATAATTAAGTAATATTTCTTTAGAAATATGATGCTTATATATTTTAATATATATAATAAATTTGTTAAATATCTCTAATTAAATGTAAATGATTTGATTCTTTTGGCAAAAGTATAAAAATATTCTTAAATATTAAAATTTTGTATTCTACTGAATACTTTTTTATTAAAATCCTAAAACTAAGGATAAAATTTACAAAATTGAGATAAATTTTAATAATGTTAAAAACATTAATAGCAGTTTATCAAAGGTAAAAAATAAACTTTAATTGCCCATATATTAAGACCACTATTCATGAATTACATCCATTGAGATTTAAAAAATAAACCCATTAAATATAATTTAATACTAACTATTATTAAAAATATATTTATTCAATCTATATTAATTTAAAATTTTAAAAATTTATAGATTTATATTTAGTTTTTTATTTTTTATTTTTATTTTTTAATCTCTTATTGAATAAAGGAATTTTATATACCAACTTAAAATTAATTCTACATAATTGAATGTCTTCTAAAATTCTTTGCTGCTACCTAGATTGATAAAAAAATCTAATACTATTGAAAGGATAATAAGGACTTTTCTTTAGCAATTGACCAAGTCAATGTTATCAATAAGAGAATTAAAAATTCATTTTAAATGATGCATTTTTAAAATTACATCATTGCATATTTAAAAGTGCATTACAAGTTGAAGCAAGTGTAGAGTTGGTTTTTATAAGATTGTAGAAACTTAAGCTATTTTTAAGAAGATAGAATCTTGTATAGATTAGATTCAGTAGTAAAATCAAATTACACCAACTTGCTTTTTCTATAAAGAAATATATCAATTAGAAACAGAAGACAAATAAATTCAAAATTTGTATTATACATAAATGTTGGTGTACTTAAATATTCAATTACCTTTCTTGTTTACTTTTTCTTTTTTCTTTTCATTTCAGGTGGATGTACTTTTAAATGTTGGTTGATTCACTGATTGTTTTTGAATGTCTTATAAACACCATATGAGTGTCAACCACATCATCATTGAATTCCAATCCAACTTTCAATGCATTTAAAAGCGGAAAACATCAGCAATCTAAAAATAAATAACTAGATGTATATATTAGAAGACGAACACACACACATTCTCACTCTACATCAATTACTGTAAGTCCTGAAGATCGCGAGATGCATGGAAGATGTGGAAATTCATTGTTTCCTGAACAGACCAACAAGAATAGTAAGAAACAATCAATGAAACAATCAACAGAACAAACAAACAGTGACAAATAGCGTCATGCACGAAGCACTGACAGCGGAGAATGGGAAGCAGAAGTGCCGAAGTGCCCAGATCAGCTACAATAAGAAATGGGACCACAGTGTGGGAGCAGGGATGGCTCTCACTTGGCTCCACCGAAGGCTTCGTTGATTCGCGTGGTCACCATTCTGGATTGTTTCGCAAAGAATCTGCGGTGGGCGCTGTCTTTGTAGGCCTTGCCCTCGGTGAAGTTCTCCAGGTACCCAGCTGCACGATCCTCTTTGTTGATCCTGCAATGCCATGCAAACACCCTCTCACTGATCCCCACTTCAGCACTTGCACAGTTCCGAGCCCCCTGTCTCGATGTTCCCTGCTCTTGCCAGTTCTGCGCTTTGCGAATTCTCTAAAATCCCAGTTCCATGCATCATGGCTGTCTACGTTTTCATACCGCAACGGGCCGGTTACACATGGTGTGTTGAGGTTTTGCACCTGACATCGGGATTAATGCTGGCGTTTCGTACAATCGCAGTTCCGCAGAGTCCCACTGCAGTTCCTATCACGAGTACAATCGGGTAGACCTGCCATGCAAGTTTTTGTTATATCGTTGCATCACGAGTGATAGAAGATTAATTGCCTTTCAACTCACGTGCTTTTAAAACTAATTACTTTACGATGTTAACGAGGATTCACTGCTTCAAGCTGTGGTCTTCGGTTTGATGGAAGAAAATCAGCAACCTGCATTGAATTTGTATGCAGATTTTTTTGATTTTGGAAGTTCTGACAGATAGAAGAGGTCCAACTCAAGCCCGCATCGCCCGTGGATGAGTCGAGTGAATACAACACTGATTGATGATATCTCAACAACAATGGAACTACAATTGTCATTATCTTACTCCAGGGAGCATATTCACGACTCTTCAGAAGCTTGCGCTGAGGCAGTGCGCACCCGGCAAACATCAACCGAGCAAACCAACACTGGGAATTCATGGATTTCCTTTTATGTTCCGCAGTAGAAGAAGGTTTCGAAGCATCCCACGGCATGTCAGAGAAACATGACCTCAGAAGGGCCACAAACTCGAGCATGAACCACGTTGTCTGATGAACTCAATATCTCATGCAATGCCAGGTGTGACGAGGTTGAACCAACCTCGGGAATGATCCAACGCTGCGCCCAGGTCAGCGGCCTCCCCATGCTTTCCCACGCACCAAGACGATTCTCGAGGCCTGTGACTAATGCTTTCGACCTTCGATGACGGGACTCTGTTGAGAGCAGGATGCTCCGAACTCATCGTCGCCGCACCTCCTCAACGTAGTCCTCTCACACTGAAAGGGAAACGGAGTCGAAGGGACGGGGTCCGGGAGTGCCAAGAGCTGCAACCTTTGACTGAGTGCACAGGCCGAGGACCTCACCGACATGGAAAGTCTGATCTGATGTGATGTGATCTGATCACTGTCCGGGCCAAACTTGGCAGTCGACTTCGCAACACCGCTTGGAGAAACGATGTTCACATGTGGAAAGTTGTTCTTTTGTAGTGATTATATGAATGTAATCGAGAAAGTCATGTGGTGATCAGATGAAACACGATAATAATCAGATGTTTGTTGTTGAGAAAGTCGGCATCTGGAACTCTTCCGAGTTATAGGTGCTTCACAATTTATCAACATCGTGGCTTCGCAAGAATCTGGACTCCGCACCCTCACTCTCGAAGTTCGGATCTGGTAGAGGACCACTCGTGGAATCCACAAACAATCCAACATGGGTCTTTGTTTGTGTGTTAATCTGTTTGTTAGTTTGATTCTTACAAGTGTGCACCATTCTAGCATCCCACTGTTTTCTGATAAGTTGGTGTTCTTCGTGAATCCTGAATGGGATTTCCTCTAATATTCTTCTTGTATTGCTCGATGTTTCATGTTCACGAGAATGGACAATGGTGGGTGTCGGTGGGTGTCGGTGGATGCGGAGTGATAAAGTTCTGGCGTCAGTTGTAGTATTCCTCACAATATTCTACAGATATTTGAACCCAGTTTATAACATGTATAGCAACATTTAATTTTTACTTCCATGTATATAGAAAGATGACACTGATCGTTGTTTATGTTATTATTATTATTATTATTATTAAATGTTAACTAATTAGAAGGTTGTTTTATCTGTGTAAGTTGTTTGAATTTAATCGCCTAACTATACTCAACCAAATGCCAATACAAACAAATTTTGAAGGGTATTATTTGTATCTTAAACTATTAGCAGCCATAGTTATAATTTTTAAAATTGTATTTATATAGAATAATGTGGAAAAAAACCCAAAAATTGACTACATTATCTGTTAGAATTTAGTTAACTATTTTTTTAAACTTCCACTTTAATAATTAAATTATAACATAGTTTACATTAAAAACAATTTTAAGACGTCTTATAAATACAGTAGAAATGGGATTTTATTTTATGTTCATATTAAAAATAGCACTTATTTTTAAAAATAAAATATTCTTATCAAAAAAATTAAAATTATTTTTAAATTTAACTATATTCTACCATTGATTTTTTATACAAAGAATAATAGATGTTATGTATCAAATTAATAATAAAATAATGAATTAATAATTAAAATAATTAATTAAATATTTTTACAAAATTACACTTAAAATTTTGTATCAAACAAAGTATTATTTTAAATCTTAATACTACTCACTTATATCAAAGATATCAAGCTATAATATCAAAGATAGTTGATATAAGTAGTTATTTAAGCTTGATATTATAGCAAAATGAATTAGATAGCCTCACATCTTTGATTATTTATTATGTATAGAGATCTATAAGCTTAATATTATTGCCAAATAAATTGGGTTATTTTTAACTTTAATTGAATTCATTAAAATAATTAACAAAGGAACTATAAACTATAAACTATCATTAACAAGTTTAGGTAGTATCTTTTTATTGAAAGTAATTCTAATTAATAATATCGTTTTAGGTTAAAATTTTGGATATTTTAATTTTTTAAATTTTTTTTTTAAACATATATTTACTTAAATATAATAATATATAACAACTTAATATATTTGTTATTTTTATATTATTGATTTATAATTATATTGGTATTAAATCTTAACTAGAGTATATTTCATTCCTAAAATTTTATTATTAGTAATAAATTATAACTATTTAGAAGTAGATAACTTTTAACAATATTATATTTGTGTCAATTTTTTTTATGACAGAAATTTTTGTATAAAAAAGAAAAAGAATCCATTACTTAAGTAATAGCAAAATACTACCAATTAGAAATTTTAATATTCTTATATGCAAAGTAAAGACGTAAGAACTAAAAAGAATATATATATAGAGCTAAATCTTTGTAGATACATAGAAACAATGTATTTTTATTTTTAATTAATTAATTTTTATTTTAATTAGATGATTTTTTTTAAAAAACTTTTAGAAATTAATGTATCATTAAAAAATATATTTAAATAGAGAAATAGTAATATAAAAAAAATTACTAAAAAATCTTAACTTATTACCTTTTTTTAATAGTTATATTATATGTTTTAAGAAAAAAATAAAATTATTTAAACAAGCATGAACATAAATTCTTAATTATTTTTTATATCAAAAAATTTAAATCTAAATTGAATTAGTTTAATTTTTTATATATTTCTTTTGAATATTATGTAAATTTGTGATTTGAAATAAATCTTTGAATGATTTTTATATATGAGAATTATTTTAGCATATATAAATAATTGCACTTAGACCAACTTCTAATATTAAATGTTTTAGTGGAAAATTGACCAATTTCTACATGCATATAAAATAATCAATTAATTTCTATTATAGTTGGATAATTTATTTTAATTTTAATAATAAAATAAAAATTTAAAAATATTACACTATTAAGATTCTATATGAGATCATTAAAAATTACTTTTTAGTTAAAAAAATAATATTTAAGAAATTTGAGCACTTGCTTTCAACAACCTATAAAAAAACGAGATTTTAAGATAAAATATACTACAAAAAAATAATATTTTAGACATATGAAATGAAAATATATACCATGTACCAATATTAAGAAATTTAATATTAAAATTAGGATCTAAGATTCAAGAATATATAGGTGTCTTTGATTTTTTGACATCTTTATTTTTCATTCTCAAATTGACTAATCTTTTCTTCTTATTGTTTTTGAGGTTTAAGATTCTAATAGTATATATAATTTATTCTACAAATTCTTAATTTGCAAGATATATATACTTTGACTTTAATGTTAGAGTTTTCACTTTTGACATATAAAGTCTTTTGTAAATTTTGAGCATATTATTACCTTCAATTTATGGTTTCTAAATCTAAATATATAACTAATTTTTTGCAAAATAGATGAATTAGTAGATAATAAAGATTTGACTACTTTAGATTTTAAACTAATTATACAAATGAGAAGGTTTTCTATATTTTGATTAAACATATCCTCCTTCTTCCCCTTTTCTTCTCATTTTTGGTCTTTATAAATTAATTTATATACTTAGAATATTCTATAAGCTTTTCAATTTTTAGATATAGAATCTTTGATTTAATATCTTATTTTATTGATTAAATTTATTTTATTATTTTTAGAAATTTAATTTAAATTAAATTAATTCTATTATTATGAAGAAATCACCAAAATAGAAAAAATAATCTTAAATTAATGGTATTATTATAAAAGTATTATAATTTTTTTTAAAACTTATTTATAATTTATATGTAATTTTTTAGGAATTTTTAGAATATATTTTTAAGACTTTGGTGAAAATAATTATACAACCTTAGAAGGCCATTATAAAAGATTTGAGCAAGATTCAAAGGCCCTACAAGGTTTTCAGGATAATTGGATGATTTTAAACACCATGTTGAAGCTAAAATTATACAAAAAGTGATTTTACTAGTAGAAAATAGGAGGATCGATAAATAGTGTAGTAGTTGTAGAAAGAGAGGTGCATATGTCCCATATGGATTGTAGCACCTTAGATGTAGGTAGCAAGATAGGACTAAGGCAACATGGCATTTAATATATCTACATAAATTTATTTTGAATCTTGGTGAGGATCAAATCATTGTCTTCTTAAACAAGTTATCTTTTAAGTAAAATATATTCATTTTAAAAAAAAAATTAATTATGATTTTTTTATTATAAAAATCTTTGTCACATATTCATAATAACTTGAATTTATATATTCGTAATATTATTGATTTTTTTAAAAAAAATATAATATCTAAAAATATATTTTTTATATTTTGTATTAATTTACTTTGTTACTTTTTTAGTGGGTATAAATCAATTGGAAAATTTGTGACTAGTTTTTGATGTGTATAATTATTCAATTGCATTTCTTTAACTTGTCTTGTACTTATTTTTCTTTGTTTCTTGTTAATTGTATCTTTTACTTTACATCACCAATTACAAGCAACTCTTTATTAAATCAATCTTATGATTTGGATTGGAAGATAAATTTTATCTTCACAATATTATAATAACTAAGATAATAGAATAAAAATTCAAAAGTTAAAACTTGAACACTTTAAAACTAGAATAGAGATATAAGAAAAAAAATGCTACAAATATAGAACTAAATTCTTATCTAAGTTAATATATCCTTACAATTACCTTTTTTATATAAAACTTAGACTATCAATTTTTTTAACATATTATTAGAATATTTGAGAAGAATCAATATTTTTGAATACCACTTGATTTTTTTGATTGATAATAATTTTTTAGATATTTTTAATTTTTTTAAATAAGTGAAAGACTTAAAATACTTGAATATATAAAAAAATTTAATCTCAGATAGGACATGATCTAATACTTTATTAACTTTGTGTAGTTGTTTTCTAAGACTAATAAAAAGCTAAGCAAATCAAAAGCAAGTATAATATAGTATTGTTATTATTTTTATTTTTTAAAATCCATTATTAACTTTTAAATATAAGACAAAAATAAAAATAAAAAATAGTATTTTTTAAGTAAATAAAATTATATTATAATTTTAATTAATATTAATTTATTCATCAATTAAAGAAAATACATCTAAAAAAATATTTAAATGAAAACATCTAATTCAAGCATATTAATAATATATAAAAAATAGTATTAAAATCGAATTATTATTTATATATAAAAAATAAACTTATCAAATCTAAGCAAAAAATTTATTTTTCTTATTCAAATAAAAGAATGATATTCTTGCATAAAGATTTGAAATAAATAGATAAAAATTATGTCTAAATGAAACAAAAACTTCTTTTAAAAAGAAGATTAATTAATCTTTATTAAAATTTCAACATTAAAAATTAATAAAATAGAAGTTAGAAAAGAATAGAATGTTAAATATATCTATATATATATACATATATATATAATTTAAGATGAGTGTGACTTTGCCACTTTATATAAAATTTATTTATTACATTAAAAAAGTTTTAAATTCTAGTATCATTAATTCTACTTTCTTATAAGAGCATTGACATTGCAATTAGAGCCTTTTTCTTTTCATATATACTTATTTTTATTGTAAAATAATGCTATAGTTTTTACTATAAAAAAATTAATATTGCAAGTTTTACAACAAATCTAAAAGGCATTCTTTAAGTAGTTTATCAAATCTATAAAGAATAAAAAATAAAATCTCCTGCACTGAATACATTATTGGTATTGTAAAAATCTCTTACTAAATTCTTTTGTATTTACAGCATTACAAAATTTCACTCTTTTTTTTCACAAATTTATTCCATAAAACTATGAAATTTCAAGTTCAATTCCATAAGAACTTTATTTAAACAAACAACATGCAACTCCTCAACTAGTGAGAAGGATTGTTTTATCCACCCAAGTATTTATCCTCATTAGGGGTTTTTAAATATGGCCTTTTTGGGTGATATTTTACTTGTTATCTTTGCCGAAAGCATCTTATGATATTTCAAAATATTACTTGATACTTCACCAAATCACCTACCTCACAATGTAGGTGATTTTGAAATCAAAACATCAAAAAGAGGGGTGGGATCAAATATCAAAAACTGCATTGCTTGCCTCAGCTCTCTTTTCTTATTGTCTCCATACTAGAGGGTAATAAAAGTATAAATCAGTGGGTAATATCAAGGGATAATATTAAGAGGTAATAAAATTTGAATAGTGATATTTTGGATTCGATATTTTGAATGATCTTAGAAATATCATGTGCTGAATCCCAATTATTTGGTTTTGCACTTTACAAAAATGCCATGTTTGAAATCCCTATTTGCGATGTATATATGTATGTGTGTATATTCGACGAACAGAAACACCAAAGGGTGAATACACTCGCTCATCGAGTGGGCCCAGGCTCAGAGGTGGTGGTGATGGAGCAGAGCCTATGAAGCAGCGTTGCTGCGAGGGCGTGGCTATGGCATCGGGGGTGATGGTGACGAAGAAGAAGGGCGATGGACGAGGCCTTTCCACAACGGGGCCACCGCAATAACAGCTCCATGGTCACCAACAATCTCAGGGTTTGTCACAAGTTGAACTAGTTGCACGCACACGAAGCCTTTTTTTGCTCTTTACAAGCGCGTCCCTCGGCAAAGCCGCACGAGTGCGCAGAGCTGCACGATGGGGCGGAAGGACCGTCAACTGTGTTGCCAGATGAAGCTCATGGTCGCCGTGGGTGTGCTCATTATTTTTCTTCCTTCGTGGTTGTTCGCCCCAGGTGGGTCGTTTACCCGCGTGGTTCCGTCCCTTCCCCCGATTTGGGCCTAATCTGTTTTTTGGTTCTCTACATTTTGCTGATTTGGCCTAAAATGTCATTGGCATTGGCGTCATAGCTATCGCCGTAGTCAGGAGGATCTTTTGGAGTGAAAGGGTTAGTTCGTCGTTTTGGACGAATGCGTCAGCTGATGGGTCGGAATTTGAACTGGGATGGGGGATTGAGGGGTATCAGAGACTTACCGCGAGCTGGCGAGATTTTTCATGAGAAGGACGGGTTGGAAGGGAGGTCAGGCTGCTGATGTGTTGTTTGTGAATGCCACAATATGGACCGGGGATGTGAGGCAGCCCTGGGCGCATTCCATGGCAGTCGCCAACGGTCGAATTTTGAGCCTTGGCGATTCTCCCGAGGTGCAGATGAAAAAAACATATATAATGCAACGAGCCTCAATTCATTATGTTCAATTTCTTGTTTCGCAGAGTTTTTACTTACTGAATTCTTATTTTTTCATCAGCGTTCTTTCTCTTTTAAACTATGCAGGTCCTGGCCATTGGTCGTGACACAAAAATTGTGGACTTGGAGGGTAAATTTGTGACTCCTGGATTCATCGATTCCCATACCCATTTCATAAGTGGAGGTCTTCAGGTATGTGGTCCGTGGAATTTGACGGTTTAATGCGACTTTGTGATTTGAGGATCCCAAGGGCACACGTTGTGGAAAGTGTGATTTAGAACTGCCTATTAGAATGGATCACCGTTTTTGTCTGATTTTTAAATTCCCAACAGTCTTTTTATTTGTAAAATCAAGACTGTATGTTGCATCTACATTAAAGACGCCATTCAAGCACGAAATGGAGAAAGAAAATTGTTAATGATTGAATTATTATGGAGAAATTCAACTTAAAATTATTATGGATGCAAAGCTTCTGGATTATTACTGTGGTTTGAGGGCGTTACTATTGTGGACATGTGTCCTGAAGTTTGAAGCGTTTACGGTTTCTGCGGTCTTCAGCATCTGGTGTAATCAGCATCCCTTACTGAGTAGTGTTGGGAAATGTAAATGGTAGATGGATTATGTTCAACTGGAGACTGTCACCAGCCGCGCCGATTTTACGAATAGGCTCAAGCTTGCTACGGAAAGTAAGCTTGCTTGGCTTGTGTTCATTATATATTTTCAGGTTTTATGTGTATAGTCTGGAGGCAGCTTTGAAGTAGCCACAGCATGAGTGTAGTATCAGGTTTCAGGATGCCAACGGGAGGGATGGCTTTATATTTTGCTCCTACAGACTGTTCATAAACTTGCTTGAAGGTTTCTGAAGTTGAGCTTATGTGGTGGCGCTGTGGTTTGTTCACAGGCGTGGAGAAAGGGAAGTGGATAATTGGAGTCAATTGGAATCATGAAAGCTGGGGTGGAGAGTTGCCTGAAGCTTCTTGGATTGATGCTCCAAATCATCCTGTGAGTTATTGGGCTACTTCATCATCTATTATTGTGTTGAGCTTTTCAGTCAGGGTAGACTCATAGTCTTACTCTTTCGAGTGCTAATTTTTGTGATGTTAAGATGATACAAACCCCGACTAATTATAAAATTCTTGCAGAGTGCTGCTGTTTGAGGTGCATTCTAATGTAACCGAGTAACATTTCTTAGTTGTGAGATTCTCAACTGCAATTTACGATAACATATCACTCTGGATCTGAGAATCCATCAGAAAGTATACTGGATTTCATTTGAAGCAAATTCATACCCATAGGCATTGCATACTTGCTAGTGGGAGCTAATCAGATAAATCCCGAGTCCTTAAAAAATTTCTGTTGCAGGTCGTCGCGTGTCGAGTAGATGGCCACATGTGTGTGGCCAATTCATTTGCTTTGGCGTTAGCAGATATTCATCGTGGAACAGTAAACCCCGAAGGAGGCACCATTGTGAGAGATCATAAAGGAGGTATCCTCTAAAGTTCGAATTACACTGTCACAGTCCAGATTGTGTCAACTTCTCAGACTGAGATGAAAAGGTCCATCTGTTGGTAAAAAATTTGGTGTGTTCTCGCGGTTGTCATTTGGCTGTTCTTTTGCATTGGTATAATTTTTTAGATCGGCTTGCCTGACTTGTTCACAATCGAATTGTTGTCTTCAGATCCAACAGGGGCATTAGTCGATACAGCCTTGACACGTGTTGTGAAATGTATTCCTCAACCATCAGTTGAAGAGAGGAGGTCTGCTTATCAGAAGGCGAGTGAATTGGCATTGAGTAACGGAGTAACCTCTGTGGTTGATTTTGGAAGAATCACTCCAGGGGGACCGCCTGAGCAACCTTGGGATGATTTAAACGGTACTATCTTAGCCTCCTCTAATTATTTTGATTGTTGTCGCACTATACGTCTATGCATTAAGCACATTTCTGTAATACGTAGACAAAGTTTGCGGCTATTGCTGTATTATATTCCTAGATAGAGGTGCAGCATTTTGTTGTCATCTTAAAATTTAAGATGTATTTTCATTTTCCTGCCCAGAGGAGTTCGGAGTGCCTTATAAGTGCCACTAGCGGTTAGTGTTTGTCACCAACATTAATTATAATTCTATCCCTTTTTGGCCCATGAAATGTGAATCTTTCTTATATTATCCACACGTTTATGAGGGACATTTTAATAAAAAAATAATCATCTTTCTCAGATGTCTATTTATGGGCTGATTCGACTGGGCACATGAAAGTGAGAGTGACTGCCTACTATCCCCTTCAGATCTGGTCCACCGTTGCGGTAGGTAGTTTAAACAGAGCTTGACACTTCCGCTTGAGCTTATGATTAAGTTAACCATTCCATCATTGGTAGTCGCTGGATAATCGTTACAATTCTATTGTAGGGATTGCTTAATAGGAACATACATATATGCATGCGTACATATATATAAAAGGTGCGGAGACCAACTCAGAATGGGTGTGGACTTCGTATACAGGCTTTTGTGAAGCAACGGGGTCACGATGTAAGCCAATGGTTACGGGTGGGTGGTGTGAAGGCCTTTGCTGACGGTTCTCTGGGGTCACAAACCGCTCTATTCCACCAGGTATTAAATATGAGTCTCACTTGTAAGTTGCTTATGGCTCCCCTCAATTTCTTCACTAGTAGGAAAATACTTCCCAAGTTTTCTATTGTTAGCATTCTATTGTGAACAATAAAAGCAGACCAATCAGCATATGCTTGGTTACATGTCAGTCTTTTGAGTTCGGGACTGGCAGGCCTATGCAGATGACGAGTCCAACTTCGGTTTACAAGTGGCTGATCCCGACTGGATACTTGAGACTGCGTTAAGCGCTGATGAGGCTAATCTTCAGGTTCGACTATACGAATATATATTTGCTAGAACCTATCACTGTTTTTAACTTTCTCACTTGTTCGATTGATCTCGACAAACAAACAGAGCATACGACTCAAAAGTGCAGCGGCTTGACAAAATTGACTTTCTGGAATTAGATTGCAGTGCATGCTATTGGCGACGCTGCAAATGACCAAGTTCTTTCCATTTTCGAGACAGTGAAATCCAGAAACGGTCCTCGTGACCGACGCCTTAGGGTAAGTCTCGGCCCATTTTAAGGTCTTGCGACTGCAAGCCTTGGGTGGGCAATTTGTTATGAAGCACTTTTACCTCTTGGATTTGTTGGTATCTAAAACGTACACTCCGACCAAGTCCAAATCATTCTCTTCATAAGTCGAAGAGCACGTTTCAATGTTAAGTCTTTGCTAAAAGGGCAACTTATTGTTGGCTATGCATTGGTGTCGGCTGGTTCGATGAAGATTGAGCACGCTCAGCATCTGTCAGCTAAGGCCCCCAAACGCTTCGGAAGTGAGAACATAATTGCATCGATGCAGGTAATTCTTTGCTTGCTCGTCAACTTAGATTTTCCCTGTGCAATATCTGCAACTTCTTGTACGGTGAGCATATCACGCAAGTTACTTAGTAAATCGTTTTCTACTTCATGTGTTCACTTTCTTTAAGAGTTTATTTCTTTCTCTCTATGGAGTTGTCCTTTGAAAAGCATTGACGTAGTACTTCTCGGAGCATATTATAGTCTTCACCTATTGCTATACAAATCTTAGGCAATATCATATTTTTAGACACTGCCTATGACAGCCTGATCATCTTCGGGATGACGCACTGATCGCTGCGAAGAGGATAAGGGAGGAAAGAGCAATGCAGAGTTCCTTTCTCACGAAGTCGCTTTTGAGCAATGGAACTGTGATTGCGCTGGGTTCAGACTGGACGGTGAGTTCAACATGTCCCTATGCCCATGCTACTTCGTGGTCTTGGAAAGGAAGTTAAAAACTCATTCCAAAAATCACTCATTAGAGCATTTTTGCATCTCAGGTACTTGCTGTTCACTATCAATTATAGTCTGCATTTTTGCTTCTGTGTTAGGTTGCCCCGCTGGAGCCACTATTAGGACTTCAAGCTGCGACCACACGAATTCCACGCGGCGAGAGCAGACCCTGGAATTCGGAGGAATTGATTTCCATAGAGGCTGCACTTAAAGGGTAATTTGGAAGTATCTGGTGATCAATAACGCATAGATGCCGCGTAATATGATGCTTTTTTATGGTGATATTTCTTGTTCATTGAGATCCACGAGTAAGCTGGTGCAAATTCCCACATATTGTTCATGTTACGCGTGAAAGTTTATGATGGATTGCACGCTAATACAGGGTGTGAATGGCTCAGGTATACATGGGGCAGCGCATACGCATGTTTTCGTGATGCCCAAGTGGGTACTTTGTCACCCACTAAATTTGCAGACTTTGTGGTGCTCTCAGACAACCTTTTGACGCACCATTTTTCCACAACTCCATCAGTGCTGGCCACCTATGTTGCCGGAGAGCGTGTATATTCTGTGAGTTGAATCGCCAGAAGGTTGCAGTTCCTGCTTGTGCAATACACATCGGACTCCTAGCTGTGTCTTTCTCCCAGATGAGTTATGTAAAGATGAGTTACACATATCTCATCTTTTGGCTCATGTGCATGCAATTCCAGAAAGTTTTGCTCAAGCTTTTGTCCTGAATGTTTTCTTTGGACCCAATTCTGGGTAGTGGTGTGTACTTATTCAAGTGTATTTTAGTTACAATTTTAAATTTACTCAAAACTTATTGCTAAAATCAGAAAATAAAGAAATCAACATCCAAAAATTTAAGTCAATAAACATGAAACTCGTAAGAATTTAGAATACTGCGAGGAGAAGTGTAATGTGAGCGAAGACAAGAACTTTGGTAAGAATTCTGGTATATTCTAATTTTTATTCCAATTAAATGGTTTGAAAGGTATTGAACGAAGGTGGCATGTGGTAGATGTGGAGGGTTGTTGTGGCAATAGCAAAAAATGTGGTAGCATATATATATATATATAGATACATACATTCATTGCCTGTATGTTTTTATAAAGTAATTACAATTAGTAGAAAAAATAAAATTTGTAATTTACTTAATTTATAAAGAAAACATGATCTAAAAAAAATGTATCCAGAAGCAATCAAAATTAACAATTAAAATGCATGTGAAATAAATGATAATATATTGAAAGCAAAGTGCAAACAAAATAAAACAAATATTTAATTTTTTGGAATAAAAAATTAGATTTATGTTTACTTTGTATTTAAGATTATTAGAATATTTGTTCTATTAGCTATTTTTGTAATGCTCATCTAGTATCTTATACAAGGTCATACTTATGTCATGTGAGTAAATAAGATTATATGCACATGCTACATCATTCTTAGGATTAGATGTGTGACAAAGTTTCAATCATTTAGAAATATAAATCTTTTCCAATTGTGACTACTTAATTACTTCGATCTATATTGACTTTTGCAAAAGCGCTAAATTGAATGTCTAGAATTCTTAGTGAAATAAATTCTAATTCTCCACATTGCATAAAATCCTACAACTAAAATGATACTTTAAATTTTGTCTTATATGTTTTTATTTATAATGCCAAAAATTCGTTTTTAAAATTTTATTGGAGGTGTTGTCAAATCTTTTGTAAGAGCCTAATTAAGTCATAGTGGTTCATCTTTATTATTATAGCCATACTTAGACCTTTTGTAAAAACACAACAATTGGTTGATAATTCAATAATCATATAAAAGGATGAATAACTTGATAGAAATATAAATAGATGGATAGAACTTTAAATATTTGTGTACAAATAATTACCATCTCTTTTACTATGAAACAAATATAAATAAATTTATAGCACATTTGTCTTGTACAAAATTATTTTTATCATAAATTAGCTTATTTTTATAAAATCTGATTTTATTATGTTTATACTTATTTTAAGAAATTAATAATTTGATCTTAAAAGTAATTTTTATGATGAATTTGTATATATATATATATATATATATATACTTCAAATCTAATCTTTTAGATTGCAATAAATATGATTTTTTATTCTAGTATATACTATTAGGATATTAGTATATACTATTAGGATTATTTGAATAGAAATAAATATCTATTTTATTATAATAAATCAATATAAATTTAACTAATTAGTCTTTTATCAGATATTCAATAATAAATACAAATAATATTTTTATTTTATTTAATATATATAGAAATATTTTTAAAAAATTATAAAAATTTTAAAAAATATACAATGATTTGTATTAAAAATTATACACTCTTAATAAAAATATAAAATCTATTTTAATACCAAACTTTATTTGAATAAAATTTTAATAACATAATTTATTATCTAAATTTTTAAAAAATTATATGCAAAATCTATTCAAATTAAGACATTTATTTCTTTTCTTAATGAATATATTCAACCATTTATTGTTTTTAGTAATTAATCAAAATCATAATTTTTAAAACTTAATTCTTTTTTATTGAAATAGGTCTTTTAATTTAGGTAAAAGCTCCATATTCTAATAAAAATTATGGTTTGTAATGTGTTTAGAAATATTTTGACAAAGAATATATAAAATCATAAATTAAAAATCTTGCACCAAAAAAACAATTCACACATCCAAGATAATAGAAATAGTGCAACCATTAAATTTTTTTAGTATATTTAAGAATTGGCACATTGTCTTAAATATAAGTTATAAAATTGTAAGATGATTTATAAGAAGTTGTAAAATGCAATATATTGGTTTCAAAAGTGAATTATTTTAGGTTTTCTTTATAAGATATAAGAAATTGGGTATTGACTAAGTAAAACTATTTAAATTAAAAATTATAAGTTATTATAGATTGTAGAAAAATCTATCAATTCTTTTATAATATAGTAGATTATAGCAATATAATATATTATATAACAACATCCATGGACATCAATTAGCAAAAATAAAAAAATAACATTGCTAATGTCCACAATTGGATGTGAAATACTATCCACTACATCTTTAGTCTTTATTTTCATTGTTTCCAACTCTTATCCCGACCCCCTCGATTTTTAATTCTTAATATTGCATGAAATGTATGTTCTACTTTCTTTGGTAAAACTTGTATAATTACAATGCTTTATTTAAATAAAAAAAGATGTTAATCAATAAGATCTATATGTTATTTTTTTGCAATGTGTGATTACTGATTAAATTGTAGAAGCATCCTTAAATGGTCAATTCAAATGGGTTGGTGGAAAAGAGGTAAGGCCATGAAAATAGATGACGGCCATTGGTTTGTAAAATTTGATTCAATAGAAATCAATATTCCAAACATGGCCTTTCATACAATCATACTCTTGAAAATTCTACTTCTTCTACCTATCAAAATTGAAATCATGCCAAAGTCTCTAAAAAACATTATAGATTATAAAACTACCTAGGCTGAATTCAACTTCCTAGCTAAGTTTTTTCTTTTCAACTAAGTCTTTGTATTGCATCTCACCTTTGATTATTGAGACATTGTGCCACAGACATATGTATTTACTCTAATAATTACCTATATGATTAGGTAGAAGTAAATAAAAATAGATTAATTTCATAATATCTTTTAGAAAATCTTTCAAAAAGATTTATACATGTAGCTTTTATTTTATACTTGTTTGTAGTTAATTAATAGGCTAAAAACTTGGTCAAGAAGTTAGCCACATATCACATGTGTTTATAGCTTGTGAAACAAGCTGACTATGTCGTCCACATATAGATAACTTGCCTTGCAAGTTAAGACATGAATCTAACAAAGTCAATATGTATTGGAGGTCCTATAGCATATTGCCATGTAGCTCTTAATAAAATAGTATATATGGAATGAAGAGTGAAGCATTCTTTAGTCTTGTCAATGCCTTTCTTAACCTTAGTCTTGTTTCAAGACTTTCTAGTCTTCTTGTCTCTAGCAATAGGTATTCTAGTTCAATATATTATTATCTTTGAGTTATTTTCTAGTCTTTTCAAGTGACACAAGAATGTATTAAAGATTTTTGCTTTAAAATTTATGTCCTTGATATATTACTAATAATAAAAAATCACATGATAAAGTCAAATGAGGCATTAAAACTTAGCTAGATGCTAATAGAAATTATCAAATGGTAGGAGTTACTAGACTTGCCTCCATTGATGATCTATTTATGGACACTTTTTTGATGATGCCTACCAATTGCTTGGCCAATATGGGAGTTAATATCATCTTCATCTTATAGGAAGGTTGGAACTAAGGGCAAAGGCATTTGAATTGATTTAGTAAATGAATGGATCACTTTAACTTATATATATATATATATATATATATATTTATATATATGTATTAATAAAAATCCATGCCATTGGCCACAAAAATGTTCCAAAATAAAATGTATGAACTTATTATCTTATACCATGTAAATCTATAAATTAGTACTAAATTCACTTATAAATGGATTAATCTATAAAGGTACAAATTCTCAAGTGCAATATAGTATCAAGAAGTTATAGAAGTGAAGTTTATAATTCTTAAAAGATTATGAATCAATGAAAAAAATTACAAATTCAGATTATTTTTTAGTAGTATTCTTTATCAAAAAATTTAAAAATGCACCAAAGTTTTACAAATCCATTGAAGCATATTGAAATTTTTCTCATAAAAAAATTAATGTGGCATTTAGTATCTATTTTTGTACTTGAGGCTTCAATATGTCAAAAACCAAAATCCAAATAATTTACTCAACATAGTATTGTTGATGAAAAAGTTTCTTTTTATACTTTGAATTTTTTTATGAATTTATCTATTTTACCTTCTTTTTTTGAATTTTATTTAATACTTTAATAAATCAAAAATTTCAAATTTATTCAAAAATTCTACATTTCATTTTCTAATTTATGTACCATGTGACTTTATTTTAAGTCATTCATTAAAAACCATTTTGTATTTTATATTTTACATTTACAAAATACAATAACTTAACATTAACAAGATTATGGATGAAGAACATAAAATTACACTCAATCTTAAACTCCGGATGCATCATTTCCTCAAACTGAAAATATAATTACATATACACATACATATAAAAACCAGGTTTATCTATTTGTTTGTTTGTTTGTTTTTTCATAACTAAACCAGAGTTATTGAGTTATGGATTGAATTTTTTTGTCTAAGCAATTGAATTATCTAAAATATGTTTAATAAAGATATTGCCTCAAGCATCAAATTTTGAATATATCAACCAAACACCAAATCTTGTGCAATATCCAATTTTATAAAAACCATACATGTAAAATTATACTAATGCATTCATAAATACACCTCCATCTATAAAAGCACAATAAATAATAGAAATTTATTAATTATTAAAAAAATAAAATTTATTGATTGAAATTTGTGTTGTTGGCCACAAAAAAGTTATAAAATCTTAATTTGTGGTTGATAAGTAAAAAATTGACCACTTCTAAAAAAAACATAAGAAAAATAATAAATATATAAAAATAGAAAAAATTAATATTTTTTATTTTAATTTAAAAATATGATTTTTCATATTTCATATAAATAATAGCTAAGTTAAATAAATTAAAAGAAATTCTAAATAAATTATATTTATAATGATATTTTTATCTTTATTACTTTTT